ACAAACTTCTCAGCGAGCAACGCGAGGGGGAGGTTAAGAGCCTCCAAGATGAGCTAGAGGTGGCTCAGATTGAGCACGCCGACATGGTGGAAAAGGTAAAAGTCTTTGAGGTTAGTGGCGATGAACTAGACTCGGTGACTAACGCTCCGAACCCGCAGGTCCAAAAGAATCTTGATCGGATCAACCAGCTTCGGGTAGAGATGGATGTGATAAAGGTCGAGGCCGAAGAATGGAAAACCAAAATGGATCGCTAGGCCTCGAAAAATGAAACGACCCTGGCGCAATTAGCTTCAGCTGAGTTCCAGCTTCGGGAGGCAAAGGAAAAGGCCGTGGTGCATGCCAAAAAGATTGAGGAACTCCAGTCTTAGCTGAGTTCGGCCGCCCCTGATCGAGAAACTCTGGTCAAGGAGCTTGAAACGGCCAAGTCGGTGGCCGTGGTGGTCAAAGCCGATACTGATGAGATGGTGGCCCAATATAAGGCCGGCATCGAGGTGGCCCAGGACCGAGCGAAGGACATAGTCGAGCACGCGAAGCGGCAATCTCGAAGGGAGGCCCTCGATGAGATTCATGCTCGGGCTTTCGACTTGTCGGCTGAAATCGAGAGTGCTAAGGGGCTCGAAGCCTAGGCCAAGAGGTTGGCTTATCTCAAGGATGATGAAGGCTCCGAGAGTTTGAGCGGATCCGAGGATGGAGGAGACCCCGAAGCTCCTGTCGACAAGGCGGGCTGCGATGAAGACCAGGCCGTTTAAATGCCTTGTACATTTTTTTTGTATCTTTGTACTTGTGTACTTTTTTTCTTTTCTGTTGAGGCCATTTGGCCTTTGTAAAATTTTGTATCGAGGCCGTTTAGCCCTCGTAAAAAATCTTTTGATATGTATATAAAGCTTTTTCCCTTAAGCAATTTCTGAGTTTTTCCTTTGCTTTATGATTTATATTTGCAAAGATTGAATGCCTTAGCATGAAATGGTTAGGTTATGCTGGGGGGTTCGAACGGGCCTTGCCTACAATATTGTTTTGTTTAAGGCATTGTGGGGATTCAGTATGATCGTATTTTTTCCCAAAGTACAAAGTACTTATAATTTTATAGTTTGCCGATGGTAGCCTTTAGAACCGGTTAAGAAATTTTGAAGGCCTTGTTTTTGTTACGGATTTCGAACGTTCCGAGCCGCTTTAATATGGCCATAGCCCATTTAGTTCGGGTGCTTCCGAGTGGAATTGTCACCCCGAGTTATCCGAACTTGCCTAATATATCAGTCCCTGAATGGGGATGGTCGTAGCCTTTAAAATTCGGGCATTCCCTAATAGGTCTTGTGCCCTTGAGCTCCGATAGCCCGGACCGTCCGAGTTTGTCTTCGGTTGGCAGTCCCCGAGTGAGAGTGATCGTTTGAACTCGGATTAAGATGGCCCTTGGACTCGATACCTTTAGGGGATCGGATGCAGGAAATTCCTTAAGAAATGCAAGAAATTTTTTTAAGGGACAAGATATTTATTCGCAAGGAAGAGACTTCTTTTTGTTCTTGTGCGTAATAGTTACACATGTGTACATGTTTTGTGGCAGGGTTCGAGCTGTCTATGCGGGCATGGTTCATCTGACCATTTGACCCTTATAATAAATCCTATCAATTGAGCCGAGACCATTCAATCACGAAGTGTCTTTCCTTGCTAAAGTCGATCCGAGGGTAATGCCCCCAGGTTGAACATAGAGAGAAGCCTCGGATACCGTTGATACGATCTTTGACACCGATTCATGACGGATATTCTATTCTAAGTTAGCACGATCCACTGTTGCCTCGTTAAAAATCTTGCCGGAAAATTCATTTGGGACAAAACCGGTTCAAACGAAAAAGAGTGCAACACATGCTTTCAAACCTAAAACTTTGTACCGCTCCTTGTTGATTACCTGCAAGTGTTAGTTCAAAATGTAAGTAAAAGAAACGAATGGGGTCGTACCTTAGCAGTAATATCGTTTCAAGTGACTTATATTCCAGTTGTTCATTAGGCTGGCCCAAAACAACGGATCGAGAGATATTACAACCGTTATATACCCTTAAAATCGGATAACAATTAAATTTGTAAGTGGTTTTAAGGATACGTGGATCAGCTTGACACAAAGTGATGAATTGAATTGCAATTGAAATGAACAATGATAAAGTAAATTCAAACCCTACGAATTGAACAGTTACAGTCTTGGGTGGTTAGCCACCCTCAAATTGAATGTACTTCGATTGGTATCAAGATACAACTGAAATAAGAACTTAAAGAGAAGAATAATGTATTGCTTTGGAATGCGAGTTACAATGTGTTTTACAAGTAATCAAACACCATTTACATAGTAAGGGAGTCCTACTTTAGGTACAATTCTATAAAAGGTAAAAATCTCTTGATTCGCTGATTTTCCGGTTCCTTATTGATATGTGCTGAGATTCCTGCCGTAATATCCGACCGGTCACGAATATTTTGGTCTTCTGTTGGTTACGTTGACAATGTTTCCTCGAGCTCGTTCGGGGTCAGAGTCGATTCTGGGATCACGGACTCAATGTTCTCAAGGACAGACATTCTGATCTTGGGTTCTGACCTGGTGGGACTTGGGGTCGATCTTCAGTCCCTCATGTTCCGAGCCCAATCTACCATGTCGTAGACGAGCCCGATTTCTATCATATACAAAAAGTATGGTTTTAGTGTTCTTGTTTGAGTGAGGCAACGAGGAAACTATTAGAATTGAGTCATCAAATGATTGAGAAATTAACAAAAAGAGTAGATTTAAAGAGTAGACTCATGAGACTACTATGAGCCCGTTTGGATTAGCTGTTTGTAAATAGCTGATAAGCTTGAAGTACTAAAACGTATTTTTAAGTGCTGAAATTGATTTTTAAATAAGCATTTACGTGTTTGGATAAACATACCGAAACTGTTAATAAGCAGTTGATGTGTTTGGTAGAAAAGTGCTGATAACTTGTTCTTTTATTAAAATGACTAAAATAACCTTAAAAACTTACAAAAAATTATAAATTAAAATGTTTCTTTATAAAGAAATAGATGAACAACGAATATGGAATGAAAAGAAAGTTAGAAAATCTATTTTGGGAAAATTATTTTGTAAATTAGAAAATATTATTAAGGATAAACTAGTAAAAACCTTAGAGGGTGTTTGGCTAAGCTTATAAGCTGGTCAAACTGGCTTATAAACACCTTTTGGCTTATCTACGCGTTTGGTAAATATCCAAAGTGCTTATAAGCCAAGTGGTTATAAGCTAAAATCAGTCATAAGTCATAAGTTGGTCACCCCCAACTTATGGCTTTTTAGCTTATAAGCACTTTATAAGCTTTTCCATAAGTCATAAGTTGGTCACCCCCAACTTATGGCTTTTTAGCTTATAAGCATTTTTAGTTTGCAAAGGCTTTTACTAGTTTATTCTTAATAATATTTTCTAATTTACAAATATTTTTCCCAAAATAAATTTTCTAACTTTCTTTGCATTCCATATTCATTGTTCATCTTTTTCTTTGCAAAGAAAGTTTTTAATTTATAATTTTTTGTAAAGTTTTTAAGGATATTTTAGTCATTTTAATAAAAGAACAACTTATCAATGTTTTTCTACCAAACACATCAGTTGCTTATTATTAGTTTCAGCATATCTATCCAAACATGTAAATGTTTGTTTAAAAAATCAGCTTTAGCACTTAAAAATGTTTTTCAGTACTTCAAGCTTATCAGCTATTTACAGTCAGCTAATCCAAACGGCCACATGAGAAGTATGTTTCTTTCTGCTCGAGACAAACTAATGAGAGCTTCTTCATTTTCCTTTTCTTCGAAAAATATAGGCTTTTGAAAAATATATCTACTTCCATCACATAATTTGATGCTAAACCAAAAATTTCAGTAGGATAAGGTAAAACTTCAGCGAAACAAAAAAAAAATAAAAAATAGTAATAATCAAATAATTTCGGACTTTAGAAATAAAGGGATTGCAGTTGCTAAAAATCTTATATGCAAATAGAAATCATTTAGAGCAACGTGATTTTTGAACCATTAATTTTTAATGCAAGAAGTATATTTTGATAAGCAGGATTAAAAGCCAAGAAACATTTTTGTAGTGATAAGATACCAAAGGAAAGAAAAAGAAAAACTCTAAAAAGAGTTGTGGATATTTCTTTCTCATTTCCACAGGCGTGGAGTTTTACGAATCTTTATACTCTATAATATCTACTGTATCAATTAAAATAGTAAGATAGTGGGCTTTAATCATTGATTTACTTTTTAATATCTTCTTGTTTAGAAAACGTGATAAAGGAGGGGACTCAGCATTTTGGTGCCGGTCAACGTTGATGTTGTTGCCTTCTCAGAAGACTCATTCTGTGGCCTCTGTAATTGGAATTTAGTACTCTAATATGTAGTACTACCAGATTATCCTCCTCATTAGACCCTACTTCTCTATGTTGACTTGACTCTAATTTTTAGACTGATTTCTGGTCAATCATGTCCACTCCTGAAGTGCAAAAACAGTGCTGTAATTTAACGTTATCTATGTTGGAATTTACCCTTGAGAAGTACTGGTTTGGTTACATTTTATTTTACCCACTTGAAGAACTTTTGTTTGTTAATTAAAATAAAAAAGTAAATGAACACCGTTGCCAGGGATCGAACCAAGCGTGACAGGCAGGAATACTCACCACTATACTACAACGACTTGGTCGTGAGTCTGGGACATTTGGATTCACTAAAGCAACAATAAGAAATAAACGTTTTATAGTGATGACGAGGAATAACCCCGATAACAGTTTGGCCATCATCATTGCTGGCAATTTGCAAAGTATTTGAATATTTGTGAATTATTAAAAAAAAACTTGTTTAAAAAGTATCATTTGGCAACTCTAAATACCCATTTTCATTTTCCACCTAATATTATCCAAGCGCCTAGTTGAAAGCATGGAGTAAGCACAATATCTTAGTTTAGCAGATCGGGGACTCCTCCCTCCAACTTTCTTAATGTAACAAATGATATGTAATTGAGTTATTAATTAGACTAGGAGCTTCAAATTTCGATACAGTTAACGAACAAAACAGGTGCTAATCAGTTCTTGGACATTAATCCATAGAACGTAGGCAAGGAATGTCAAACAAGAAAGTTGTCAAAGCAGTTGCATGATCCAATAAATTAATTCCTTGACATTTTGCACTTGGACACATAATTGCAAGGTATTGAGTCTATAAATTTCCATCTTACATACACTTCTTGTGGCTACTCCATTCAGAAAAAGGTACCTTCTCGGGGTTGAACAAGCTTTCGGTTGTGAGGTGCAACCATTTCTTTTCTCAACTTGGTCAGTATATCTTCCATGGTGTATTCTCTCTGGCAATTTTCCAGCATACGGAACTTCTTTGCTTCAACCTATCACCATAATGTTAAAGTGACTTTCTGCTGCTTCCAACAAAACCAGAAAATATGAAGTCGTGTATCGAAATATATAAATTGGGAGTCAAGTGATAACTACACAGCAAACCTTCCCCTCCAATAAGAGATACTAATCAATTTTAAGCTATTCAGAAATAGAGCTTACCAACCAATCCTGAAAGATAGAACCTAATGAACAAAATTGCAACAAAATAGGAACATTACCACTCCGCTCTCGGGGTTCACACAAGTCATGTTGATGCGTGAATGGAAACGAACACTTGGAGGTTTGTCTGGATAGTCTTTGTCACAGAATAACTTCAACTGATAAATACGTCCCTGATGTATGTCCTGACAATTGAGAAAACGGGGGGAAATGGTCAATTACAAGCATCGTGATGGACCAATGAAGTGTTTCTCTCAGCATGTTCTTTCGAGAATGTTCTTCGCTTCACGCGAAGTTGCAAGCATTTCCACCAAATGTACATAATATGAAGATAGACTTTGCATGCTGCTCCTAACAATCATAAATACAATAGTTGCATTCTGGAGAGGCTAAAGCAGTAACAAGATACTAATTTGCACAAAGTGGTTAACCGCTCTTTGATCATTCTTGATCAAAATTGTCATGCTAATTTACGTCCAAGACAAATCAGAAGGATTTTATTTTTGCACATAAATATATTATTAGGTGGAAGAAAATCAATTATATATGTAAAGTACTCAAAACAGAGAACTTATGGAAAGAAAGCCATGTACTTTTCCTAACCTAGCACGCATATCCTTGCGCAGTTCAGCCACAACCTTCCTTAGGCATTGTCGATTAGTATTACTGCCAAAGTACTAAACTAACTAGTATTTTTTTGTAAAATAGACCACAAAAGAATCATCACACACCACTGAACTTGACAAAAATTCGTTGACCTGGTCTCTTACTTGAACAATGCGTGAAAGGCCTTGTAATTCTTTTTGTTCCCCCAATTGCAGGTAGGGGTGTTCACGGTTTGACGGAAAATCGATCCAAACCGAAAATCGAACCAAATCGATTAAGTAAACCAATAATTTTCTTGATTTGGATTGATTTTGGTTTTAAATTTTAAAAACCGATAATATTTGGTTTGGTTTTGGTTCTATTTTAAAAAACCGAAAAATAAACCGAACCAAACTGACTAATTATATACAAAATTTAATAATTATTTATATACAATATAATATCTTTTTGTAAATAATTTTAAATATTTTATGCATTTTAATTGTTATTTTGAATTTTGGTTTATCCTTTTATATCTTAAAAGATTGCCTAAGCCCAAAACAACAGGACTCGACCAATTTTCTTTTCATTAAGAGACTCCAATTCTCTAACCCTCCACACATACTTTTGCCTAATAGAATAGTTAAAAAAAAATCACCACAAGAGTAAAGAAAGCAAATTCAAATTGCAAGACAACAATGGCTAAAGCTTGAGAAAGCAAACTTTTAGTTTGTTTTTTGTTCATTCTTTTCATATAAAGAGGTAAATAAACTTTCAGTTCTGAAAGAAATATATAAAAAAGTATAAATTAGCAAATTATTTTCAGATTGTTGTCTAGCGTTGTTTTACTATTATCGACTTATCATTAGCTTACTAAGAACCGAAAAATAGAACCAAACCGAACCAAACCAACAACAATCAAACCGATGGTTTGTATTTAATTTGGTTTGGTTTTGGTTTTAAAATTTTAAAAACCGATTAAATTGGTTTGGTTTTGGTTTTAATCAAAAACCGACCAAACCGAACCGTGAACACCCCTAATTGCAAGAAGTAAATAGAGGAATTTTAGATATATCTATAATCTGTTATTGACCTTTTCTCACATGGAGTCCCAAATTCGCAGATATCTATAATAAATCTTTAACATCCAAAAGAAGCTTTAGTTCACCAGTTACAGTCTCAAGATAAACAATTTCACTTGTTCTAAGATACACAATTTGACTTGTTCTAAAGTACCACAAAATAAGAAACATATATTGCCTTAAGGCAGAAGATGTACAATGTTCAATACTCTACTTGGTCAACAAGTCAATCTTTCCACCAACTTAATTCAATTGAATTTGGAGAAATATTAGCCAATTGTCCATACATGAACTTCTTATAATGAAAAATATCCTTTAAAGCAGTTAAAAAAGTTTCACATTCTGAAATGAATTAACAACCCAAAACTTCTACAGCTTAAGAGAAAACAATAAAACAGAGATCACTGATGAAAACTTTTAGCATCCGGAGAAGCTACTAGGATAGACAGGAAAACACAGTTTTGAGAAGAGCTTACATTGTGAGGACCAATTATTGTTCCAGTCCAAGAACGCATAAAAACATCATCTGCATCATCCATCCCGTAGCTAACAGAACCATCTCCAATACCTTTTTCCCCACGTTCAAGTTCCTCGAGCAACCTAAAGTTCTGTGGGACTGACAAAAAGAAAACATTACTATGCATGATTCATTATCCAGATTTTCATAAATGGAAATGAAGTACAGAGAAATTTCAAATGTCAAGTGAATTTATAGGGTGACAAGTAAGATACGAGTAAGTTCAAAATCCGTCACAGATAAATCCATAAAGAGAAGGGGAGGGTTGGGGATG